CCCCACCCTCCCTCCTCCTTGGCAACCGCCAGTCTATTCTCTATGTTCCTATATGTATTCTTACATCAAAATCAATCTCTCTCTCTCTGTCTCTTTCTCTCTCTCTTTTTTTTTTTCAATAAAATGGCCCACATTCATGATCTGCAGAAGATGGCAAAGGTGACTCTTTTGACCTGCTGTATTATATAATCTGTGCACCTTTCCACTATTAAAAAAGAAGATTCTTGAAAAGACCAAAGAGAGAGGTTGGAACCAACTCCCTTTCCTGCCAACCCAGGCTCTCTCCTAACTGTGGCCAGTCAAGACCCTTATTTGGCACCCAGATCCACTCCCAGCACCTGTGGTTTCACGTCAATAAGGTTTTCTTTTTACACACACAGAATTTTAAATTATTTTTGCAATCTAGTCAAACCTTCATAAACAACCATCCACGTACAAGTTCTGAAAGTCTTCTTTGGCAGCGGAAGTATACTCAACCACTTTATATTTGCAAACGCCCACCAGTGGACACAAGAGCCGAGCTCGGAGAGATGGGAAGGAATGGAAAACTCATTAGCTGCCTATTGAATTCAAAGGAAAACAGGCATTTCCCCCAGATGCACAGGCTGAGGAGTGCTATTCCTTTTCATGTGTCAGCACCGAAGGCTCTTGCTTATTATAAGACTGGAAACACACGGGGTATCCTCCTATTCTCCTCTGGAGGGGAGGAAAAGAGAACAGGTGGGATGAAATGTGGGAGAGGAAAAAGGAAGGACGCCCATAGTGCACTGGAAGGGACCCGCTACATCCCTTGAAGATAAGGTCCCACATTGAGAATGGTGAGTGTGAAGCTGGGAATCTGCTGACTTGGTAAACAGCTGACTCATACCCCCAAATTGAACAGATTTGATATTTGCTTTTGTCTAGTTGCCCAGCGCTGTTCAGTGAACCATGGAGACCCAAGGGCCATTATCAGTCACTTCCTGTCACCCCACCATCTTCACACCCTCTCTCCATATGGATCCCACAGGCCCATCCTTTATCAGTGATAGGGTGAGAAAGCTGTTTGACAGAAGTACTCCAGACTCCCCTCTCCTCTGATTTTCCGCAATTCCAACATCTCAGATGGGTTGTGGCATGGGGCCAGGGAACACAGCATGGATGAGCCCGCAGAGCAATCCGGAAGGAGAAGAGAGAGGGGTTCTTGGGGAAAGAGGAAAATCCTGCCTGGGCAGGCTGAGCTCTGTCTACACAACAAAGCGACTGGGACTGGCCAGAAAGGGAAAGATGCGTTCAGTTAAAAGCCTGTTACTCCCAATGTACACAGCAGTACTACTCACTACAGCCAAGACGTGGAAGCCACCTAAGTGTCCATCGACAGATGAATGGATGAAGAGGTGGCACATATACAATGGAATACTACTCAGCCATAAAAAACAACATAACGATGCCATTTGCAGCAACACGGATGGACCTAGAGATAATCATGCTAAGTGAAGTAAGTCAGACAGAGAAAGACAAATGTCATATGATATCACATATATGTGGAATCTAAAAAAAAAAAAAAAAAAGATACAAATGAACTTACTTACAAAACAGAAATAGACCCACAGACATAGAAAACAAACTTATGGTTACCAAAGGGGAAAGGGGTAGGGAGGGATAAATTCAGAGTTTGAGATTAACAGATGCACACTACTATATATAAAATAGATAAACAACAAGGACCTACTGCACAGCACAGGGAGCTATACTCAGTATTTTGTAATAACGTATATGGGAAAAGAATCTGAAAAAGTGTGTGTGTGTGTGTGTATACATATATATATATACACACACACATATACATACACCACACATATATCTGAATCACTGTGCTGTACACCTGAAACTAACACAACATTGTAAATCAACCCTACTCCAATAAAACACAGCAACCAAAAAAACCTGTTACTATGTTTGACACCAAATCCCTGATTTGACTGGCTTCCATTCCTTTCTATGGAGCAGTTTTTGACTCAATCGATCCATTGTGGTTTTGCTGTAGAAACAGCTTCATAGCAGAATTTGTGTAGGTAGTCAGGTCGTGGAAATCTGATCCCCAAACCATTACGGAATCATGAGATGAGAAGAACAAGAGCTGCAACAGTTTATCGAAGGTCTAAAGCAAAACTGGAAAGAATCAACACTGAAAATCGGAGCCTTAACTGGCACCCAAGTCTTAACTGGCACCCGAGCCTCTTTATTCTGATCCTACTCAGGTTAAAACGCAGGTTGAAAAAAAAAAAACGCAGGTTGACCTCACAACCTGAGAATCCCTGGGAATCAGTCCTGTTCCAAGGAATTTTCCATTTCAGGTAAACAAGCTGTTGTTCAGGGAGGGGTGGGGGTGCTGTTTCCTTTCAAGTTACTCTTATCTTTTATCAAGGCCAAGGGCAGAGCAGTGGTGACTGTAAAGCAGAGCAAACAGAAGAGCGTGCTATCAGAACATGTTCTCACCCAGCAGGCCAGGCCTGCGGTATCTGTGGTCCTCAATCCCCACCCTCCCTTGCTAATCCATCACCTCTACCTGCTCCCAGCTTGTCTCCCAATATAGACATCCAGCCCAAGGCCTCTTTCCCAAACTTATTAGAAGGATGGTATCTCAAAAATGATCCTAACCATTATACTGTAATATTCTTATTACGAAGCATCAGATCACCCCACTCCCTGCTGTTGGCTATCCACTGCCCGAGAATCAGACGGCGCCAAGACAAGGCCCATGGGCTTCTTCCCCATTGTTCGCACCCCATGCCCACCCAGCTGTCCACATAGGTCTTCTCTCCTTCCCTGCAGTGCAGTGAGCAGTCTCTTGCCCTCCTCCCACTTCCAGGGCCTTTGCACTTGCTGCCCTTCAGTCTGGGACACTTTGGCCCCCCAGTTATCTCATGGCTGGCTCACTCCAGTCATCCTGTCCCAGCACAAGCTTTCCTTCTCGAAGCAGGGCTTTCCCAGACTACTCAAAACAAATCTACCGCTCCTCTAATTCCTTCCTTCTCCATCTATTTATCACATTCATTGATATTATCTTCATTCCTTGGTTGACCTGCTAATTGTCTGTCTTAGAATTTATTCTCCTAAGGGCAGAGATCTCGCCTGGCTTTTTCAAGCTATATTTATTGAATGAATAAATAGCAACATACACAGGCCAGCCGTCTCCCACTGACTCCCTACCCAGGATTCAACTTAGAGGTTTTCCATTTCTAGAAACTTCCAACCCCCCCCCCCGCCACCGTTTCCACACACACACACATCTCTCACACCACCTCACCCTGCCCCATCGTCCCACTCTCTAGGAGTCCTGGATATACCTAGCTTCGCACTTAGCACAAGGAATTGCAGTCTCTCTCCCAAATTCCTTGAGCTTCCTTTGAATGTCTGATGCACATGTGAATCTCTGGCATATGCTAGGCCCACATGCTCAATAAACACTTGTCAGATGTATAAATAAACTAATGAATTAATCAAAGGGGCTTATGAGCACAGCTGAGGGCTTATTTTTATGTAGGGTTTTACTGGGAATCGGCAAACATTTTCCGGGAAGGCCTAGACGGTGAATATTTGAGGGTTTGCTGTCCGTACAACGTCTGCTGCAGCTACTGCTCTCTGCCCTTGCAGCAGGAAAGCAGCCACAGGCACCATGGAAACGAACGAGCAGGGCTGTGTTTCAAGAAAGCTTCATTTACAAAAACAGATGGTGGGTTGGATTTGGCACCTACCTGGTTGAGACCCTTAAATGTATTGCCTTGCTTAGCCCTAAAACACCTTGAGGTACACATTAGAATTCTTTCCCTCTTGGAGAGGAAGAAATTGACACTCAGAGGGGTTGAGTAACTTGCTCCAAGTGGCAGAGCTGACCTGTCCTCTCCAGAGCCTATACAGAAAGACCCAAGGAATAATCTAGAAAGAAGGAGGTGCTCATCATCTGGAGAAGACTGAGGAATCAAAGATGATCAGCAAACTGCTATTTTTCTTTTTTTTTTTAAAAACATCTTTATTGGAGTATAATTGCTTTACAATGTTGTGTTAGTTTCTGCTGTATAACAAAGTGAGTCAGCTCTACATATACATATATCCCCATATCTCCTCCCTCTTGCGTCTCCCTCCCTCCCACCCTCCCTATCCCACCCCTCTAGGTGGTCACACAGCACCGAGCTGATCTCCCTGTGCTATGCGGCTGCTTCCCACTAGCTATCTACCTTACATTTGTTAGTGTATATATGTCCATGCCTCTCTCTCACTTTGTCACAGCTTACCCTTCCCCCTCCCCGTGTCCTCAAGTCCATTCTCTACGTCTGCGTCTTTATTCCTGTCTTACCTCTAGGTTCTTCATGACGTTTTTTTTTTTTCCTTAGATTCCATATGTATGTGTTAGCACACGGTATTTGTTTTTCTCTTTCTGACTTACTTCACTCTGTATGACAGACTCTAGGTCCATCCACCTCACTACAAATAACTCAATTTCGTTTCTTTTTATGGCTGAGTAATATTCCATTGTATATATGTGCCACATCTTCTTTATCCATTCATCTGTTGATGGACACTTAGGTTGCTTCCATGTCCTGGCTATTGTAAACACTGCTGCAATGAACATTGTGGTACATGACTCTTTTTGAATTACGGTTTTCTCAGGGTATATGCCCAGTAGTGGGATTGCTGGGTCGTATGGTAGTTCTATTTTTAGTTTTTTAAGGAACCTCCATACTGTTCTCCATAGTGGCTGTTATCAATTTACATTCCCACCAACAGTGCAAAAGGGTTCCTTTTTCTCCACACCATCTCCAGCATTTATTGTTTGTAGATTTTTTGATGATGGCCTTTCTGACTGGTGTGCGGTGATACTTCATTGTAGTTTTGATGTGCATTTCTCTAATGATTAGTGATATTAAGCATCCTTTTATGTGTTTGTTGGCAGTCTGTATGTCTTCTTTGGAGAAATGTCTATTTAGGTCTTCTGCCCATTTTTGGATTGGGCTGTTTGTTTTATTGATATTGAGCTGCATGAGCTCTACTTGTATATTTTGGAGGTTAATCCTTTGTCAGTTGCTTCATTTGCAAATATTTTCTCCCATTCTCAAAGTGCTTTATTAAGAACACTTAGGGTCAACAAGAAAGTTTAAAATGAAAGATTTTTTGTTGTTGTTTTGTGGGTTTTTTTTGATATGTGGATATGTGGAACATTCAAATGATTTGAAGGAAAAAAACATTTCCAACATGATGTAGATTTGGAAAGAGGCTTAGGCTCTTGCCTGGCACAAAATGCTAAGATGTCCTGAGCCGTCTGTGCCTGGAAGCCTGGAGGGACTGGGGGTTCAGGGGAAGGCAGTGGCCAGCGTGTACTGAGACCCTGCCCTGCATACTTAGTCTCACCTGATTCTCAACATTCCCCCACATTCACATCAGGGATGACCCTTCATTAACAAGAAAAGGGAAACAGTGCAGACCTCTCTGTGGACCACAGCAACCTGCCTGCGGGAGCATATTAATTTGGATGTGCCAGAGAAAGTGACTGGATTTGACTTTAAAGAGAGTTCCCTCGTGATTCTTTTCTGCCTTTATTTCGGCATCCTGTAAAAATTATGAGACATAAAAATAAAAAACATGAAAAGTCTCTTAATCTTAAAGCATAAAAAAGCTAAGCCAAGTTTGGATTTATACATTCAATTGGGTGTAACTTGAGTCTTCTCCCTTGGAACACGGAAATAAACACTGTCTATCTAAGCCAGGGCATGCAATGGTAACAATTCCATAGGGTCTACTTTGACATTGGTTTCTATCTGTTGACTAGAAGGAAGGAAGGGAGGGAAAGAGAAAGAACTTGGCTCTGCTACCCATGGCTCTGTGGCCTCAGGCAAGTTACTTGACCTTTCTGTGCTTCAGTTTCCTCTTTGTAAAATGGATACAATGATTCTTAGACTTCAAAAGGCTTTTATGAAGATTAAACAGAACCTGTAATCCAAGATGTCATTCTTATGAGCCGCAGTTCTCCTGGTCATTACAATCAGTTGATGAGAGGAACTGTGAAATCATAAAATCGTTAGAGCTACAATGGACCTCAGATTCTAACCCCTCTTTTTAAAAATAAGGAAACTGGGGCCAGAACACATTCGTGACTCATAGCATTTATACACAAAGCTGAACTATCTTTACATAGACCAAACCCTTTAGGAGGTTTAAAAAAATGTTTTCAACTCTGTATTGAAACGGCTGTACTTTTAATTCAGTAACATAATATGCTTTGCATGCGTAACTTTTTACAGATAGCTTCTCCACACATCTTTCCAGTAAAATGATACGCATTTGAGTGAAAAGACCAGTTGGTGTTTTAGAGTTTCTTGTAGAGCATTCCAGCTTGTTCCTAGACCAAGACGGAGGGATTAAAAATGATCCCTTGGAAAAATCTCATCCAACTGATTATTGCTGTGTGATTATAAGTTTGTACAATCTTTTTGAAGTTGTTTTTCTTCCCCCTCCTCAATATCTATTAAATAAAAAAATGAGTAAACTTTCTGAACAAGCGATTTCACTCCAGAAAATATATCCTACAGAATTTCTTGCACAAGTGCACATAATCCAGTACAAGGATGTTTACTGTAGCATTATCAACTTTCCATAACATTAAAATATCCTTCAGACACCACATTTGAAAATGATGGCTCCTCTCCCATTTTGTTATGCTATCATTGATCTGACTAAGGGCCTTTGCTTGGGTGTTCAGGTTATTTCAAACTTTCTCTTGTTACAGTTGGATACTACAAATATTCTTCTGGGGAATCTTCGTGCGGAACAGCTTCTCTGAAGAGAGAAAGACGGTGAGGAGATGAATATCTTATGCTAGAACACACACCACATCATTCAGAGAATGAAAGAGACAGCACCATTGGTGAGTTAATTAAAACCCACTGCCCACTGCATGGTGTCCTCTGATAACAGAGAGGGTAGCCCCGGGGCGTAGAAAGCCACTCCTGACGAAGAAAGGAATAGTCCCAGGACTGGCTGGGAGTTCCTCCAGCTGCTGATCTGCCAGAGGCTGATTCTGTGGTGATTTATGGAGAGAAAAATGTGCCCCCCGGCTCTGATTTTTAAACTACCCAGGGATAAGCACATATGGAGATTTTACTGTGCAGAAAACCTCCTATGTGCTTTATCCAGGGTACAGGAGGAGGAAACGGAGAGGGGAGATCGCCTGGTGGTAACTGTCACACAACATCCCAACTGAAGGACTGTAAAGAGGCAAGTGGAAGTGAGGATGACAAATCAAATGAAGCCTCTCTTTCCGCCTTGTAAACCAGTTCATGTTCCTCAGAATTGAATCTGCGAGTCGACCTCAGTAATGGCATTGCTGGGAACTGAACCACGTGTAGCAAAATAAATGTAAAATTCATTTTAGAACAGAGCCATCCACTGTAATCACTGACGTCATAGTGTAAGTTATTTTTAGGGGAAAACCAGAAATAGATGGATCATTTTTACCTACACCGTATCAACTACACCCTCACCGGGCCATTAAGAGCTATGTCAGCCCCAAGAGCCCCACTGGGGGAAACGAATACAGGTTATTCGAAGACCAAAGTGTGTGGAAAAAGTCAAAGTAATTATTGACAATATAGAGTAGGTAGTTAACTCAACTTTATTGAGTCAATTCATTCATTGGAGAGAGAGAGTTTATACTAATATCTCTGTACCAGTTTAGAGGTAAAATAGAGAAAGGCAAAGAAAGAACTTTTAAACTCAATGTCATTCTGTATGTCAGTCTTAAAAATAACAAAATTTTCAACAGAAATTATATGGTACTCCAGTTTTTAGCAGAGAGGAATTACGGTGGGTGGCTTTAAGGTAGTGAGTTTCTCATTCCTTTTCTTTTTTTGTTTGGCCGTCATGGAAGTCTGCGTTTGTGGGGCAATTCTAAGTGGATTCGCTCCAAGGATTTGTGTCTGACTTCTCAGCCCAATATTCTTCCAAGTAGCAGAAGCAGAGACGGAGGGGTGACTTTACTGACTGTGAATTAAGCAAAAGCACATTTCTTAAAATGAGATTCCATCGGAAAGAGATTTATTGGAGATGGACTCCAAGCACTGGGTAAGGCATCAGGTGGCATATTTTCATTCTGTTCAAATGAATCTTTGAATTTGAAAGCCTACCTCAAGCCTTATCATCTTGGAAAGCATGTTATGAATGACTTTTTGACCCACCCAGGGAGGCTAGAGGGAGACGAAAATATGAGTGAAAGCTGTCATCCAATGGTCTGAGACGGCTCAGAGAGGACTGAGTTATACAGAAAACGAAGCGTACTTTCTGAGCAAGCAATGCTTCCTTCACTTGACTCTGAGACAGCTACTTCATTTTTCCGTATCTGAGTTTCCTCATTAAAATGGAAGACAAAAATTCCTGCCTGAAGGATGGCTGTGTGTGTGGCCAGTGTCGGCTCCGTGATGGCTGCCCAATAAGGAGGACCTACTTCTTTCTGCTCTATCCCTCTGTGCCTCTTCAGGCCCAGCTCCCAGCAGCCCCCAAATGGCTTTGTTCCTGTCCGTGTAGCCCCGAAAGCTCTCCTCAGTACTGTCAATGGAAAACTTGGGGGGAGCGGCTCAGCGTGAACACACCTCGATGGCTCATCAGATCACTCTGATAAAGGGTCAGAGTGGTGGAAACTGTCCTCCTGATCATTTTGCATAGGAGACAGGTTGGTTAAATAAAAAATGATCCATTCAGGATGCTATATATTTTCTAACACACGACCATGCATACAGCCGTTTGTCAGACTCTGTGGAATATGTACCAAAGTGAAATATGGTGGAAACCAGACCAAAAAAAACAGAATTATGCGGTAACAATGGGATATAATTTGGGCCCCGAAATGGAAGGAGAAAGATGGTGGACTGATGGCAGAGAACGGCATTTACTCTTTCCTGGTGTTTTAACATAACACTGTAAGGATTCACCCAACCAGTTCTCTTTATTTTAAATCCCATAAAAGACACTAATGTTATTAATACTGTAATAATAATGATAATAGCTAAATGCATTCAGTCCTCCCTGTGTGCCAGGCAACATCCTAGATGCTGTGCCTGCATGACCTCGTTAACGCTCTCTCGACAACACTTTGAGACTGCCCTTATCATTCCCATTCTAGAGATGAGGAAACTGAGCCTCGGAGAAATAAACTCACTTAACTCCGCACAGCCAGGAAGCAGGATCGCGGCCACTGGGACCCAAATCTGATGCCAAATCCAGCTCTCTTTTCCCTGTACCACATCACACCAGAGAAAGGAGATGCACAGGGTTTTGGAACTGATAGGTGTTTGCCATTGAGTCCAACTTTCTCTCTCTAAAGGGATGGGAGGAAATAATATTTCTGATTATATCGTGAGTGTGCCCCTCCTACCATCTCGTTGTGGTTTCTTCTTTATGTCTTTAGTGGTAGATGTTTTTTGGTAGGTTCCAGTCTTTTTTTGTCAATGGTTGTTCAGCAGTTACCTGTGATTTTGTTTTATCAATGGTTTTTCAGCAGTTAGTTGTGCTCGTGAGAAGAGATGAGCTCAAGGTCCTTCTATTCTGCCATCTTGCTTGGATGAGGAAATAATATTTCTGAGCTGATGGGAAGTGGGACCTGACTTAGCTGGTGAAAGGCTATGAATGGCGGTGGAGAGCCATTCCAAGAAGGCCTGGCTGTGGTTTTCCCCCTTGACACTGGTGACAACGGCAGAACAATAGTCCCAAGGTATCTGGAATCTGTCAAAGACCAGTCAATATAAATGATGTGACAAGAGTGATATTTAATTCTACCATGAGCATGCATCAGAGAGAAGGCCCCGAAGGTTTAAATTCCAGTCTGTGAAAGGCAAGTATAATGTGCAATTAATTGAGGCAATAGAGGGAACTTTCCCTCAACAAATGGACCTCTTATGTCTTCAGCATGAACTTCCTCCAGAAGTAATTGAGACATGGGAAGATGCTGTGCTAGTTGCCCCTGGCTGGGCCCTGCACCCCATCACACCAGAGGAGGATCCTGCCTTCCTTACATTTCCGAGACAAGATGCCCAAAGGTGAAACTGTCCTACATTTCCCTGCCAAAAGAACTCGGTAGCCACGTTCCCTGGAGTCTACAGAGGACGCAACATGGTATAGTTTGCTGGCCTCCAAAGCCTGCCCCCAATTCTGCAAGCCTCCAAACCTGAGGTTAAAGGGAACAAAGCAGGTCTGTTCTCTTTTTGCCTTTTCTTACTTCCTAATCCACTGAATCCCAGCGTGAAAAACGAGCCTACAGTTTCCTTTCCAGTGTTGTCAGTGGGCAGAACGCTAAGGCTTTGTGACGGAGCCAAAGTCTGGGGGAAGAGTCCAGAATGCCACCTGCTGTGATGAAAAGAGCCAGAGGTCACAATAGTCAGGGGCCACTCGAGATTGGTGCACTTTGCAGGGAGGGGAAAAGAGCCCACCGCTTACAGACGTTTGCAATGGAAGAGAATAAGCCACCGCATCGCTGAATCAATGCAAGTGTCAAGAAGGACTTCTCATAAAGATTCTCAACATTTTCAAGGATCTGAACTTTGAAAGATATCCTTGGGAATACAAGGCTTACATCTGATGCCTGCCCTGGAGCACTTAGATTCCAAAAGAGAAATAAGAAACCAAATCCTGAAGTTTACAGAGGAAAGAAGCTAGCAGGGCAGACTTCGATTGCGAGGAGAGTGGTCCCCTCAGTATTTTGTACGGCCCGCTGTTAAGGGAGTTGAAAACCTGGGATTTTGTCCATAGGCCGTATCTTCCAAGTATGGAGGTAGAAATTGCCAACCATGCAACTTTTTTGGTCCAGATTTTTTTTTAATTTAACATCTTTATTGGAGTATAATGGCTTTACAATGTTGTATTAGTTTCTGCTGTGTAACAAAGTGCATCAGCTATACATATACATATATCCCCATATCTCCTCCCTCTTGCGTCTCCCTCCCACCCTCCCTATCCCACCCCTCTACGTGGTCACAAAGCACCGAGCTGATCTCCCTGTGCTATGCGGCTGCTTCCCACTAGCTATCTATTTTACATTTGGTAGTGTATATATGTCCATGCCACTCTCTCACTTTGTCCCAGCTTACCCTTCCCCCTCCCCGTGTCCTCAACTCCATTCTCTACGTCTGCGTCTTTATTCCTGTCCTGCCCTTAGGTTCTTCAGAACCTTTTTTCTTTTTTTTTTTTTTTTTTGCGATACGCGGGCCTCTCACTGTTGTGGCCTCTCCCTTTGCGGAGCACAGGCTCTGGGCGTGCAGGCTCAGCGGCCATGGCTCACGGGCCCAGCCGCTCCACGGCATGTGGGATCTTCCCGGACCAGGGCACGAACCCGTGTCCCCTGCATCGGCAGGCAGACTCTCAACCAGTGTGCCACCAGGGAAGCCCTGTCAAAAGCTTTTTCTGCATCTATTGAGATGATCATATGGTTTTTATCCTTCAATTTGTTAATTTGGTGTATCACATTGATTGATTTGCATCTATTGAAGAATCCTTGCATTCCTGGGATAAACCCCACTTGATCATGGTGGGGTGCTGCTGGATTCTGTTTGCTATTTTGTTGAGAATTTTTGCATCTATGTTCATCAGTGATATTGGCCTGTAGTTTTCTTGTGACGTCTTTGTCTGGTTTTGGTATCAGGGTGATGGTGGCCTTGTAGAATGAGTTTGGGAGGGTTCCTCCCTCTGCTATATTTTGGAAGAGTTTGAGAAGGAGAGGTGTAAGCTCTTCTCTAAATGTTTGACAGAATTCGCCTGTGAAGCCATCTGGTCCTGGGCTTTTGTTTGTTGGAAGATTTTTCATCACAGTCTCAATTTCAGTGCTTGTGACTGGTCTGTTTATATCTTCTATTTCTTCCTGGTTCAGTCTCAGAAGGTTGTGCTTTTCTAAGAATGTGTCCATTTCTTCCAGGTTGTCCATTTTATTGGCATAGAGTTGCTTGTAGTAATCTCTCATGATCCTTTGTATTTCTGCAGTGTCAGTTGTTACTTCTCCTTTTTCATTTCTAATTCTATTGATTTGAGTCTTCTCCTTTTTTTTCTTGATGAGTCTGGCTAATGGTTTATCAATTTTGTTTATCTTCTCAAAGAACCAGCTTTTAGTTTTATTTATCTTTGCGATCATTTCCTTTCACTTGTTTTTCATTTATTTCTGATCTGATCTTTATGGTTTCTTTCCTTCTGCTAACTTTGGGGATTTTTTGTTCTTCTTTCTCTAATTGCTTTAGGTGTAGGTTAGGTTGTTTATTTGAGATGTTCCTTGTTTCTTGAGGTAGGATTGTGTTGCTATGAACTTCCCTCAGAACTGCTTTTGCTGCATCCCATAGGTTTTGGGT